AGCCATCTTGGGCCGTCTTGGTGGCTTCTTCGGCGGACTTGGAGGCAACATGGACCATCTTGGGCCATCCTGGAGGCCATCTTGGGCCAACGTGACCATCTTAGAAGCCATCTGACGCCGTCTTGGAGATTTGTTTGCGGACGCTGTGCTCGTTTGGGAGCCTTCCGCGTGGCCGGCGCGCTGGGCTCAAGCCCCAGAGGGAGTTCATTTGAAACAGAACCAAGACGAAGCCGTATGGTTCAGCATTCCAGGCACCCTTGTGGCAAGACCACCAGGGGCGGCGGATCGAGTGGCTTTCGGCCCAATCTGCCGCCGTGCCTGGGCTGTAGGGCAGGAGCCTCTTGGATGAATATGAGGGTTCGTTGGTCTGCCTCTCGTTCCCATGGTGATATTGTTTTTCTGACCGCCGACGCGTGTCATGCGGACCTCGAATTCCCCATCGTGTTATTCGTGTTCGGAAAAAGGTGACTTGCGTACACTGGAGGAGGAGGTGGTGGATGAGCAGGAATATGAGCAGCAGGAGGAAGAGGAGGAGGAGGAGGAGGAGAAGGAGGAGCAGGAGAAAGGACGAGGACGAGGACGAGCAGCAGCAGTATGATCTGGAGTGGAAGGAGCGGGAGGAGCAGGAGGGTCAGGGCAAAGCGTAGTAGGGGAAAGAATGGAGGGAGGCAAGGAGGGAGGCGACACAAATGAGGAATGACTCGGTTCCAGAAAAGTGGCCCGCGCTGGCGCAACCGTGCCATAGTGAACGCGGGGGCAATGACGCTGCAGCGGCAGCATCATTTTGAAGGACCGATCGTGACCGGGTTGTAAAACACAGCGTACGGGATATCAACGTTTGAACCCTGTCTACAAGCACTACGCACTACGCGGAGAGGGTGGGTCAACTTCCGCACTGGGCCAGGGGAGAAGGGGACGTCATATTCATATTGAGTAATTGTGGATGGATGAGGGGTGGGAGATTGGAGGGGTGATACGACTCTTCGACTCTGGGCTGGCCTGGAGCACGCCCCGCAGGGGCCTCATGTCAAATGACGACGGTCGGATTTTCCTGATTTGAGGACCGTTTTCGGTTTGGCTCAAGTCGATCGATCTTGTGGGAAGTCTCAGTTCACAGAGTGCAAGGTGCAGACGTTGTGTGAGCGCCATGGCCCGCGTGTCGTTCGCCATCCTGTCGCTCGGGGCAGCGCTGGCCACTGAGGAGACCACGGCAAGCTTGCGGGGCTCTGCTGCGGCGCGACGCCTGGAGAGCTGCACCGCGGACGCGAAGCCATGCGCAGCCCCGCACTCCAACTCGGCTATCCAGCTGCCTGCGGCACTCCCCGCCACCGTGCCAGCCCAGCACCTGGGATGGCGACTGCTCGAAAGATCGCAACAACGAAGCGCTTGTGGGGGGGGCAGTGCATGCATTGAAGCGTGGCGAGAGGGGGGTCCCTTGAAAGATTTCAAAAAAACCCGCCAGACAGTGCTTCACACCGTAGGTTATCCACATCGTGCAGGCACGGTAGCGGATCTGGTGCTTCGAGGACCCGACTTGCCCAGGGCAAGGGTGCGTCGAGGATTCCGGCTGCCGGTACTGCGATGCCTCGGCGATCGGGGGGCCATCGTACGATGGTGAGGCGTGCCCTTCGCCAGCGCCGTCTTCGGGCTGCACTGCGGACGCGAAGCCTTGCGCAGCCCCGCATTCCAACTCGGCTATCTGGTGCTTCGAGGATCCGACCTGCCCAGGGCAAGGTTGCGTCGAGGACTCGGGCTGCCGGTACTGCGATGCCTCGGCGATCGGCGGGCCATCATACGATGGTGAGGCGTGCCCATCTATCCAGTCTCTCGGTGCCGCACTGGCCGCCGACGAGGGCTGCGACGGGATGACCTACACGAGAAACTACGCCGAGGGCACACCGCACGAGTGCAGGTGCGACAGCTACTGCGACGACTTCTGCGACGATGGGCCGAATGGCTGCGCCAGGACGTGCAGGATCTTGAACGGAGTTTTCGAGCACATCCCGTCCGTACATGCAGGCGACCGTACTTGCACCTGGTACGCGCATTACGTGACCAATCCGATTAACTACGAGGGCTACGATTGCTCGTGGATGACTGGCACTGGCGAGGGCGGCCACGGAGACGATTGCCAAGATTGGACGTCCGTTGGCGCCTTGAAGTGCCGGGAGGGAAACCAGAATCAAAACAATTGCCATTTCTAATCATGGCGTTCCCGAGGAGAGGGTCTTCCCGATTTTAGAAATCTTGTGGTAGGCGAAGGGGCTGAGATGCATGATACCCAGCTTTTTCAGGCTCAGTCCACTGCCTCTTCCAGCCAAGAGCGTGCGGAAGAGAGTACAGAGAGCATGATTCGTAGATGATGGAGATACAATAGCATCCTACCAGTGCTTCCCATCACCAAAAGTCTGGACCGTTGTGGGGGCCTGGGGCACTTCGCAGACGCGCTGTTCACACAAACCGCAGCTGTAGGAAATCTTGACGCTTCGCGTCCCATCCAGAAACGATCCCCAATCGAGGTACCTTGATCAGGGACGCAAGGCTGCATGCAGCCCAGGAGCGAACCGTACATGTCTCCGTGGGTCTTTCGAAGGACGTGGAGGGAGAAGGAGAAGGCTGAACAGGAGGAGAGGCCAGCATAATGAAGAGGTCTTTGACGAAAGACGCTCCCACTCAACATCCGGTGAGTCCCAGGTTTGAGGAGGGGGGAAATAATATATGAGGAGAAGGAGGAGGGGGAGTAGGAGGAGGAGGAGGAGGAGGAGGAGGAGAAAGAGGTGGGAGGAGACGGAACAGGAGCTCTTAAGTAAATATGAGGGTCTCTTGGGATGCCTCTCGTTCGCAATGTGCTATTTCCCAACCCTCCTGTGTTGGGTTCTCGTTTTGAATAGAGCAGTGTGGTCGCCTTCCTCCTCCTCCTCTCTCCTCTCCTCCTTCTCTCTTGTGCTCCCTTTTCCAATTCCCTCGTACCGTCGGGCTGCAATCTGCGCAACTGTCGCCACTTTCGTGGGCTCATGGGAGGCCCAGCGGAGGTGGGTCCCACGCGGATCACCTCGGGACCTCGCCGCCCCCTGGGGGGTTTGCGATCTGCGCAATTGTCGCCACTTTCGTGGGCTCCTGGGAGGCCCAGCGGATGTAGGTCCCACGCGGATCACCTCGGGACCTCGCCGCCTCCTGGGGGGCTTGCGATCTGCGCAATTGTCGCCATTTTCGTGGGCTCCTGGAAGGCCCAGCGGAGCTGGGTCCCACGCGGATCACCTCGGGACCTCGCCGCCCCCTGGGGGGGGGGGGCTTGCGATCTGCGCAACTGTCGCCACTTTCGTGGGCTCCTGGGAGGCCCAGCGGAGGTAGGTCCCACGCGGATCACCTCGGGACCTCGCCGCCCCCTGGGGGGTTTGCGATCTGCGCAATTGTCGCCACTGTCGTGGGCTCCTGGGAGGCCCAGCGGAGGTGGGTCCCACGCGGACCACCTCGGGACCTCGCCGCCTTTCCCGGGGGCTTGCGATCTGCGCAATTGTCGCCATTTTCGTGGGCTCCTGGGAGGCCCAGCGGAGGTGGGTCCCACGCGGATCACCTCGGGACCTCGCCGATCCTTGGGGGGTTTGCGATCTGCGCAGTTGTCGCCACGTTCGTGGGCTCCTGGGAGGCCCAGCGGAGGTACCTCGCCGCCCCCTGGGGGGCTTGCGATCTGCGCAGTTGTCGCCACGTTCGTGGGCTCCTGGGAGGCCCAGCGGAGGTTGGGTCCCACGCGGATCACCTCGGAACCTCGCCGCCCCCTTCGGGGGCTTGCGACCTGCGCAATTGTCGCCACTTTCGTGGGCTCCTGGGAGGCCCAGCGGAGGTACGTCCCACGCGGATCACCTCGGGACCTCGCCGCCCCCTGGGGGGTTTGCGATCTGCGCAATTGTCGCCACTTTCGTTGGCTCCTGGAAGGCCCAGCGGAGCTGGGTCCCACGCGGATCACCTCGGGACCTCGCCGATCCCTGGGGGGCTTGCGATCTGCGCAACTGTCGCCACTTTCGTGGGCTCCTGGGAGGCCCAGCGGAGGTAGGTCCCACGCGGATCACCTCGGGACCTCGCCGCCCCCTGGGGGGCTTGCGATCTGCGCAATTGTCGCCACTTTCGTGGGCTCCTGGGAGGCCCAGCGGAGGTAGGTCCCACGCGGATCACCTCGGTACCTCGCCGCCCCCTGGGGACTTTGCGATCTGCGCAGTTGTCGCCACGTTCGTGGGCTCCTGGGAGGCCCAGCGGAGGTTGAGTCCCACGCGGATCACCTCGGGACCTCGCCGCCCCCTGGGGGGCTTGCGATCTGCGCAATTGTCGCCACTTTCGTGGGCTCCTGGGAGGCCCAGCGGAGGTAGGTCCCACGCGGATCAACTTGGGACCTGTGGCGCAGGACTTCCTCACCAAAACGACGCCGATCATGACATTTAGCATTCGTATATTAAGACAAGTGTTTTTTGCGAGTTCTCACTGTTATGAGCGGCGTCGCTTTGGTGGGGACGTCCTGTGCCGGAGCTCCAAAAATTCATTCTTAACGTTGGAAAGTTGCAACCCTGTCGCACTTCGTTGCTTTCACCATCGTTTCGTCATAGCCAGGCTACAACCGAAAAGTCGGTAACGTCCCAAAGCGCCATTCATGGTGATCCCAGGATCGTTCTGTCATAGCCACGCTAGCACCAGAAAGCTCTGCAACGCCCCAGAGCGCCATTGCTGGCGATCTCATCGGCGTTTCGCTTGAGCCATGCTAGGACGACACACGGAAACAATGGCCCGAATGGTATTCATATGGCGAAAAAAATAGAAACAACAGTTTCCCGAATTGAAATGGACTCGGTATGGTTTCGGCAGGCCCGAACTAGAGCGACGAACCGGCGCCGCCACGATGGTGCAACTGTAGCTGCAGCTAATGAGACATATCCCCATGACGCTCTGGCAAGTCCACAGGCCATAGGCCCCCCGTTTACGAGATGACAGCCGCGGATGTAAAACATTAGCGCGAAACCAAATCATAACGTTGATTTTTTTCTTTCCAAAAGAAGATGAATGCAGTCCGGGCCGCGACGATATGGTTTCCAAAAGCATGCACTTGTGGTTCGTTGGCCGTCAATCGTGCCCAGCTTGGAACACGCAGACCCTGAATGGCGATATACCAACGTTACGAATCAGGTTCGAGGCATGTTTTCCATCCACCAATTGCGACCAGTATTATTGTTTTTGCCACCACTACTAATATAGAAGGTGCTACTACGTTGACTACTACGACTACTGCTACTACTCGTACGACTATTCTTACTACTCCTACTATTCGTATTACTACCACTACTACTACCACTACCACTACTACTACTACTACTACTACTACTACTATTACTACTACTACTACTACTGCTACTACTACTACTACTACTACTGCTACCACTACTACTACTACTACTGCTACTACTACTACTGCTACTACTACTACTACTACTACTACGACATCCACCACTACTACTAGTACTACTACCGCTACTATTAGTATTACTACTACTACTGCTACTGCTACTGCTACTGCTACTACTACTACTACTACTACCACTACTACCACTACTACTACTACTACTACTACTACTAGTAGTAGTAGTAGTAGTAGTACTACTACTACTACTACCACCACTACTACGACTACTGTTAATAACACTACTGTTGCTTGTACTACTACTACTACTACTACTACTACTACGACGACTACTACTACTACGTGTGCGAGCTTTATTACTATTGATATTTCTATTACGACGACGGCTACGACTATTCTTATCCGAGTACGATTCGTGTCACTGTTGTTACTGTTACTTGTATTATTATTTCGACCAGCTCTACCACTACTACGATTGTAATACTACGACCACCACCACTACCACTATTACTGCTATTACGATCGACAGTAGAGCTACTTTATTTTTCTGCTACCACCACTGTTACTACTACGATTGCTGCTACCACTACGAGTACGATTAGTACCACGACGTATCATCATAAGTTGGCAGTCGCTACTGGTATTCTTGATGCTGCTACTGATTGATTCATTATTCCGGCTACTAGTGCTACCGCTCTTAATATCAGTACTTCTGTTCCGACTATTAACCACGACGACTATTACTACTACTACCACCACTATTACCCTTTTTACAATACCAATACGACTATTTTTACTATTGCGACTACTACTACTACTTGTTTTAGTGCTCGTATTAGTACTACTACTACTACTACTACTACTACTACTACTACGACTGCTACCACTACTACTACCTAATAGTACTACTAGCAGTACGACTACGACGACTATTTCGACTACTACTACTACTGCTACTACTACTACTGCTACTACTACTACTACTTCACTTACTACTACGACTCCGACTGCTACCATTAATATTTCTATTATTACTACTATTGCTACTACAACTACTACTACTACTACTAATACTACTCCTTTCATTACTACTACTACTACTACTACTACGACTACTACTACTACTACTACTACTCTTACTACTACTATTACTACTACTACTACTACTACTACTACTACTACTGCTGCTACTACTCTTACTACTACTATTACTACTACTACTACTACTACTACTGCTGCTACTACTACTACTTCTACTACTACTACTACTACTACTACTACTATTACTACTACTACTACTACTACTACTACTACTACTACGAATAATAGTAATACGACTACGACTACGTCTTTTTCTACTTCTTCTGTTCGTACGACCACTACTACCACTACGACCACTACCACTACTTACCCTGTAACGCTCCTCACGGGGGTAGAAACCAAGCGTCATGTTGTCTCCTCCTCCACTCGTGTTCTTGCGCCAGACGTCCACCCCTGAGGCTCTCGGAAACTTCCACAAGGCTCGCAGGTGGTCAGAAAAATGCCCCGAACATCGAAGACTAAGTTATTCGAGGTTTCGTCTTCGACTCCGTTCCCAGAGCCCCGACGTGGTGTCTGTTCATCGGGTCGGCGCCCTTGTTGTCGTGAAATTATCCTCGGAGGGCCTCTTTGTGACGCTCCCGAGAGAGGGGAGGAGGGAGGAGGGAGGAGGGAAGGAGGAGGGAGGAGGGAGGAGGACGGATGGGGAGGAGGCGGATCTCGCGCACGGCGCTATCGGAGCCATCGAGGCTACGGATGAGGTAGGATGAGGAAGAGGAGGAGGCGGAGGAAGAGGAGGAGAAATAGGAGGAGAAGGAGGAGGAAGAGGGGGAGGAAGGATTTGAAGCAGGACGGATGAGGAGAAGGATGACGACGACGAGCAGGATGAGGAGAGGGAATGACGCCCGTCCTGGAGCTTCTTGGTGTCGCCTTGTCTCTCCCAGAGCGTGCTGGGGGTCCTATGGCCTGTTTGGGCTCTTCGGGGCCTCTTGGGGCCTCTTGGAGCCTCCTGGGCCCTCTGGAGCTCCCTGAGTGTAATTCAAAATGGGTCCTCGGGGGGG